GAGACTGCGATCTGAACTCAATTAGAAAATGAGCCTGTCTCAGTGTTTTACTGCCTTTTATTGTTAAGCATTCGTTTTATTGCAATTTATTTCTGTTTTACATTTTCCTGCAGTTATTTCTGGGACAGTATATCATTCAACAAAAACACAGTGTCGCAGGCCTGTTTTCAGCACTCTGGATATTTCCTGCATTCACACAGCATTAGTCCATCTCATTTGTTATGCCACTTGTAAGCACTGTTGATGCACATAATGCGCCTAATTAAAATCATGTGGGGCACCAGGTTACTTTCAGTTCAGCATAAAGTTTAATTTGTCTTCGGCCTGTTCTCTTAGCAACAGACTTTCATAGATTATTGGTACAATCTGGAGCAAAGGCTGTGCAGCATTGTGTAATTTCCCACCTACATATGTGGATGACGAAAAGGGACGAAAAGTATATAGAAAGCTAGCACCACACGAGCATGAACAAACTGTCAGGTGAACATCTAATTTTATGGTACGTATCATCATCATCATCACTTCAAAAATAGATCTCCTTAAAATGTTCAGTGACTGGATGTTTGGGCATATGGTTTGATTCACTGAAGATTTTGGTCTTTTCTGTTTTCAGTTTCTTTTTAGCTCACATCTGACCATTAACTGTGTTTTATTTCAAGCCGTTTTTCCCAAGTGGTGTATAAAAGTGTGTCGAAGGATTTTGGTTTTTAACCTTCATTATGAAAAACATTATCTGAGCTCCAGGAGTTCAGATGAGAGTTCAGACCTGTTCCACATGCAAGCGCACAATCTCACCACGAGTTGCAAAACATGGAGAAAGTCTGCCCTCTACTGGCCCGTCATCGTCATTACATGAAACAACCTTTGGAAACTCCTCAGTGAACACACCGATCGACTTCCACACAACAAAGAGAAAAAACAGAGCGTATAAAGCTGCAGTAATCCACTGACCTCCTCTGAATTCAGTCTGTCGGTGCTGCTCTTGTCCTGGTTGACCACATATCCAGGAGGCAGCCAGTTAACTGGAGGGTCGAAGATGGACACCACCATTCTGCTAGGAAGCCCTTTCTTCTTTCCCAGACGGTACAGGTTACAGTTGCTCACCTGGACATCAGGCAGAGTGTGAGTAACACAATGAAATGTAAGAGATTTATTAGACTATAAAACAATGCGCATTTTATATTTTTCATTGTTTTTCCTCATATTTTAGTTACTGTATTG